GGCTGCACCAGCGCGGGCCGCGAGGACGGGCACCTGTGGTGTGCCACCACCCAGGACTACGGCAAGGACGAGCGCTGGGGCTTCTGCCCGGTCAAGAGTGAGCGCAGCGCCGGGCTGGCCGGGCGGCGCGCGGGGCGCTGGGGCTGGCAGAGCTCTTGGGCTTGGGGAGACCCGTCCTGCAGCGTGGCGCAGCCGCGCGGCTCTGGGACCCTGGGGACAGCCGCGGTGTGGGCCTGAGGACTGCGCTGGGGAGGGCCCACACCCCTGTCCTGGCGGCAGGTAACGACTGTGAGACCTTCTGGGACAAGGACCAGCTAACGGACAGCTGCTACCAGTTCAACTTCCAGTCCACGCTGTCCTGGAGGGAGGCCTGGGCGAGCTGCGAGCAGCAGGGCGCCGATCTGCTGAGCATCACGGAGATCCACGAGCAGACCTACATCAACGGTGAGGGCGGGCGTGGCCCCGGGGCGGCCTGGACCTGCCCCCACCCTCGGAGCACCCTGACCTTTCTGCACGGAGTAGCAGGGCGCCCCCACTCACGTCACCATCCTGCTGGCAGGGCTCCTCACAGGCTACAGCTCCACACTGTGGATCGGCCTCAATGACCTGGACACCAGTGGAGGCTGGCAGTGGTCAGACAACTCGCCCCTCAAGTACCTCAACTGGGAGAGCGGTGAGGCGCAGGGGCTGGGGGCAGGGAAGGCCGGGTACCCCGAAAGCACTTAGCCTCCTGCCTACCCCCTCCTTGCTCCACTCCCGGTGCGGGGATGCACGTGACTGGGCCCCTTCAGGGGCCCAGGGACCTGGACAGTGGGCGAGACTTCACCCCCTGCAGCCACAGTGTTGGGCAGTGGCTGGGCAGTGCCTGGCCAGGGAGACCTGCTGGAGTGGGCACTGGTGCGGGCAGAGGGTTCTGCGCCGCGTGGGCCCAGTGAGCGAGGAGGTGCCGGCATTCAGGGGTGCGCGGCCGGGGTGTGAGTCTCTCTCCTGGGGTGCTGGCGCCCTGCCCTCCCGCAGACCAGCCGGACAACCCCAGCGAGGAGAACTGCGGAGTCATCCGCACGGAGTCCTCGGGCGGCTGGCAGAACCGCGACTGCAGCATCGCTCTGCCCTACGTGTGCAAGAAGAAGCCCAACGCCACGGCCGAGCCCCCGTCTCCCGGTGAGGGGTCCCGCCGGCTAGGCGAGGCGCGGCGCGGGCTGGG